ATGTAATGCTGAAAAAGAAGTACAGAAAACCATGGAGTCTATAGAAATGACCCTAAGAGAGGAAGGGCAAGGCGGGTTCTGAAATGTGGTACCTGAATAGAGCCCTAAAGGAAGAACAGCCCAGAGAAAACACAGGGTAAGCTCTTCCTGGCAAATGGAGCTATGGGTGTAAAGATAAAGAGTACGTTGGAGAGGTTTCTGTAGTACCAATGGTTGGACCGTGAAGAGCCTGGTATGTCATGTTAAATGTTCGCATAAGCAGGGAGAGGAAGAGAAATCCAGAATGAGTTCAAGCCCTCAAGGAGACTGAGAAAGAGTAAGCTGAGATGTAGGAGGAAGACCAGGGTAACATGAGCCTTGAAAATCAAGGGATAGGCAAGTATCAAGAAAGCAGAGCACAGGGACACCTTGGTCAGAGGCAGCTGAGCTGTCACACAGGCTATGGACAGACCTTGTGCACTGGATCAAACAATCTGGAGGTAGCTTCTGAATTTGGCAAGAGAGGATTTCATAGAATAGTAGTTGGAAGCTGGGTAGCAGTGGTTAAAAAATATTAGGTGACACAGAGGGATCACTATAAATAGTCACAGGTCTCTAGGAAATATATAGAGAAAGACAGTTTAATACCTGGCCAAGGTCAGTTCGAGAGAGGGATGTGGGTCAGACTGAAAATGCATTGAAAACTGTTACATACGATAAAACTGAACTTTTCTAGTAGGCCCCCACAGCAGCCTGGTGAATTTATTAACGGGACATTAGCAACAGGGAAAATATGATGAAGATAGAAGTCATCAAGCACTCGAAGAAAAATGAGCCAGAGAATAAAGATATTTGTTCTTTGTGGTATAGCTTCCTCCTGTCTCTAATTTTCATCTAATCTCTTTCGCTCCGAACTTTGGTATTTTTCTATCTGTACTCCTTTACCGTGAACTCTTCAATACCAGATATACTTCACACTCATTTCCTTGTTGCGATTAGATCTAAAACATGTCCTTCTTCAAGTGGTGACCACAGGCTCCAGCATTAACACACTGAAATCTTACAGAAATCCTCAAGGCATGAAGATGTTCCCATCTGAAAAGGTGGAGCAAGAGAGAAAATTGCAACGGTGAGGCAATTCAGGGAGAGGTGTGAGAGAGAAAGGAGAGAGAAGAAAAGGGAGATGAGAGCAGGCACAGTCAAGGAGCAGGCAGGAGAGAAAAGGGAAAGAGGAAATGGAGAGAGGAGAAAGAATACAAGGAAGAAAAATAGGGGAGCAAAGACAGAAGGGAGAGGTTATTTTAGATGAGAAAGGAGAGGAAAGATACAGGAGGAAAAAGGAAGAAAGGAAAAGAACATTGAGGGAAAGAAAACGTTGAGTGAGATCAGGTTAAACTAAGGGACTATCTCAAGTGAAACATTTGAAAGAACTGCTGCTTTGTTCTCAGATTTTTTTTTTTTTTTCATCTTCCCAGCAAACACTCATGGACTCTGCTCTGTGCCTGGCTGTATACAGTTTCCTGGCAAAGTGAGGCTGTAGTGGGCATTTCCAAGGGCCGGATGGAGTGTAAGGATGTGGGTTATGGCAAGTGTAAAACCCTGAGAGAGAATCTTACCCGCCTTCAGGAGGGCCTGGCAAGTTTCCTGGAGGAGAGCTGTCCTTTCTGAGAGCCAAGAAGTCAATAGACACAGAGTGGCGAAGAGGGAAGAGCCCTGGCCGTTGAGCCACCTGTAAGAAGCAAGGCAGTTACAGAGTCAGAGTCAACAAATGCCTGCTGTGTAGACAAAAGAAAGGGCAATTGGTTGGAATGGAAATGTAAACAGAGACTAGACCAAAAAAGAACCACATAAATATAACAGTGAAATCCATTAATTTGTAAAACATGATCTTATAATTGTATTAAATTTGTAAAAGGTCCATGTACTATGTTAAGAATTTGAGATTTATATTTCTATGGTAACCATCTTTACATTTTAGAAAGAATCATTTTGGGAGAAAAGAAAGATTTCAAACAAATATTGAACTCTTGCTAATAATATGTATGCTTCAATTTAGAAAAAAAAATGTATACTAATGCCTAAAATTTACTTTGAAATGCATGTAAGATTGATTAACTGTTCAGTAGAAAGGCAGATAGTTCAGCATACAACAAAGCAAAGTTGTAAGAGTTAAATCAAGGTGGTAGGTATATGAATGCTCATTGTAAAATTCAGCTTTCCCAACTTTTAAAACTTTTCATAATAAAATACTGGAAAAAAAGCTGGGTGTGGTACACACACCTATAATCCCAGCACTCAAGAGGCTGAGGCAGGAGGATGGCTGAGAGTTTGAGACCAGCCTGGGTACATAGTGAGCTCCACGTCAGTCTCAACTACATAGTGAGACCTTGTCTCAAAAAACCAACAAAAAAAATTCTGCAAAATTAGTTTATTCTGGCTGCATGGATATAGTTTTAGGAAGGAGCAAGGTGGCCATTTAGAAGGTTGTTGCAGTAACTGAGGCAAGAGCAGATCATGACACCTACAGTAAGTAAGCGGAGAGGCAGTGGTAATATTTCCTGGTTTGCAGAAACATTCAAAAGCCAGGCATGGTGGCACATACCTGTAGTCCAAACTACTTGGGAGGCTGAGACAGAAGGATTACTTGAGCCCAGGAGTCTGAAACTAGCCTGGGCAAAATAGTGAGACCCCCCCCATCCCACCACCACTACCACAAAAAAGAGTCAGACTGCTAACCAACAGTTTTGTCATTTGGGTGGACATAGAGGGGAGGAAAAATGAAGATCTTCTGTTTCACTGCCAGAGTTACAGACTGATAAGCAGTGGATGATCACTGATTTTTTGGATGAGAAGGATTCAGAAGACTAAAAACTCTAAGCCACTGATGAATCTTCAGCTGGTCCTGGACTTGAGATTCTCTCCAAGAGGGTCCTGGGGCTAGTTCTCTGGTTCCTTAGACTATCCTTGAACTCGGTGGCTTCAGCCTCCCAGTTGTGCTCATGAAGAGGAGAGGGGGTGAATCTTCAGTGCCCGCATTCCCAGTGGCCCCAACCAGAGATGAAGCTGGACTCTTTCATCCACTGCTGTACCACCTCGCCCTGCTTCAGTGTCCTGAGCACTGCTGCACCTCGTCCCCTGATGATTTCAGTGTTCTGTTGTGTTGGTTTTTGTTTTAGAATGAAATCATTTTAGATCTCCTGCTTCAAATGACCCATTCACACCCAGCTCTGATTTACCAGCTTGCAGTCAGGAAACAGATTTCTCTGGAAGACTCAGTCACACTAAGGTAAAATGAGCTTTGCTCAAAGGCCTCCAACTGCCTCTCTAAGAAGCAGATGCTGCCAGCCGGCCTGAGGGTTCTGAGAGGCCGCCTCGACCCTCCTCCCTCCTCCTTCCTCCCTCCTCCCTCCACCTGCAGCTGCGAGGCCTGTAATTCTGGCTCATTTCCTACAGCTTTGTCCTAGAGACCATTACAAGCGCCTCCTCCATATGAAGGACAGTTTTCTCAGTAATTACCTTCGTGATTCATTTCTGGGTTTCTGCCTTTGCAAGAAATGTCCATGGCCATTTTAAACTGGATATTTAACTGCAAACCTCTTACATCTTCAAGGCTTAGAATATTCTGACTGTTTGTGAGGATGTAGCTAGAACATGATGATCTGCTTCGCCCTCTTTGGTAGGTGCTTTGTGAAGAGACCTATGCTGGAGAAAAGCCATTACCCTTCAATGTCTGACCCTAAAGAAGACACACCCACCTCTGATTAAGGCAGGTCATGGATGCTCAGCTGGTAACTATCAGTGTTCCCAAATGAGCCAACATACATCTTCCAACACACACACACACACACACACACACACACACAATCTGTCTGTGGCATTTAACTTTTACAAAGCAGTATCCCTCAGATGGTTCAGTTCTGGTTGTCTCCTCATCATCTGATATGGACTCATGTATGCATACGTAGGTTCTGACACTAGCTCTGCAACTCCTAGCTGAGCCTCAGCTTCCCCATAGGAGAGGGTGTTCACTCTGGACATTGCTGCAAATAGGAAGTCAGACAGTGTACAGACGGCATGAACCCAGTGCCTGGTGCTTGGTGGCGCTCAGTACTCAAGATCTGTGATTACCCAGGTGTGGAACATAACATTTTCCAACATAATGACTGATGCATGTCTTGGACATTGTGTGGTTGAACATCAAAGTATATTTTCTTCAAAGTGCTTCTGGTATTTTGCTTTAACTTCTTCTGTATCAAAAAAACCTCAGTGACTTCAGTTACTTCTCCTTAGAAGAAGAAATATGAGAAATAAGCAAAAATATGGGCTCCATTTCAGTGGAATACTTGTAGAGTAGTATTTCACAGGCCAACAGTCGCTATGTGCTAATGGAGGATGTCTTGTGGCTTGTGAAGGAGGTTTCTTTGTTTTGGTTTTTGACAGTGAAATTTTTGTGTCCCCAAGACCACACATCATCTTTGTACCCTGTGTGCTTCTTGGTCCCCTCTGCAGCAGGAACCTGGCTCCTGTAGGCTGAGAGGACACAGGTACTCAAGCACCAGGTGACTAAGCTGAGGAAGGGGCAGGTACAGCTTTGGAACAGAACAGGGGAAGAAGAGAGAGGGGAAGGCTGCAGAAAAGAAGACCAAGAACTAAAACCTTGGATACTTAACTCTGTCAGGGGTTTGCCAACTCCTCTGTGTGAACTTTTTCTTTTCCTCGACAGTTTAACAGCTCCCTTGACAGATGGAGAAACTGATGCTTAGAAACTTTAACTTCCTCAAAGTCATCCAGCTGGTGAGGCAGCACCAAAAGCTGAACTCAGTAGCTGACTACAGGACCCTATAATTCTCACTCTGCAGACTTTCTTCTCCAATGAAGCAGGCCCTCTCAGATCCCAGAGAGGCCAACAGAGCCAAAGAGGCTGCTCAGCTGGAGCCACCTACCGTCTGCCTTGCACCTGGACCTTGTAGAACCTGGACTAGCAATAAATAGCAGCTGGTGGTTTCCCCTTGTCCTGGCCTCACTCCTGTCTCTGGGGGTGAAGGAAGCCCTTGGAGGACTTCTGCACCAAAAGTGAGTATGAAAAAGTACTAGAAAGGACAGTGTCTTTCCTCTTTTCACCTGACTCTTAAAAAGCAAAAACAAAAAACCTCAATGGTAGTAGCCAAGCTTAGAAATGGTGCTGTGGATAGAGAGCAGCATGTGGTTAGACTGAAGGATAGTGTCCAGAGGTAGGGGCTGTGGCCCCATCCCCAGGAGGTCTGGGACTCTAAACTCATGCTAGTCTGCAAGTGTTCAGTTTTATTGTAATGGGCCCAAGGGGACAGAAGAGCCATGGGCTCCTGGGAAGTGAAGATTGAGGAGTTTCTTTTCTAGGAGTTGGTTGACTAAAGGTAGGTGCTCTGCTGGTTTTCAAGGTCATTGGGAAGATTCTCTCTTTCCATTCCTTTCATTGCCAGTACAAACCAGAACAGAATAGGAGATACTGCACTCAACAAACAGCAAGAGAAAGCCCAGCCTCAGTGCTTTGCTGGGACTGGGGCTTGGGTTTAGACATTAAGCTCCATACATCTTAATGCTGAGAGTGCCCCACCTGTGAGGGCCCATCCAACACTCAAACTTCTGCTCAGGATTGGCTTGAGATGACTTGAAACCAGTGGAAGCAGAGCTAGTAGTCTAGGAAAGATCTCTAACTAAAGGGAGCCAGGTTGGGGACAAGCTCTTCTGAGGACTTTATGGTCTTTGTTTGGAACCCTCTTGGGGGCTGGAATTAGAGCTGACATTAGGTGGGCTGACACTGGTCATACCACCCCATCCCATTTCACTTTTTGGTCCTATGGGAGATCTGGTTATGGAGTATTTGTTCAGGAACTAAGCCAGTATTGGGGGATCTGCTGTGGGCAAGGACTAGTGCTCTGAATTCCCAGTCCAAATGCTACTGAGTGAGAAAGGCTGGATCTATGAGTAGAGAAGAGCTACGAAGAGTTTCTCAGAAAGGATAGAACTAAGATTCCCTGACCTCCTTCTTAGGACTCACCGCTCACACTCTCTGAGCTTCAGTTTGTGCAGTTGTACAGTGGTCAGGGGTGGAGTGTCAGACCTCAAAGGATTATTCTACCTGCCCTGATAGTCCATGGTGCTGCCACAGACAGAGGGTCCTGGGTACAGCTAGAGTGTGGTAGCCACTTAAAGGAGGCTTGGAGCACATCCTGTCCCTTCAGGGACTCTTATGGTGGAGGAAGTAGATAAGGTTCCTCTCTATCACATGAGCAGCACTGTGTCTCCTCCACAGCAGGCATGGCACAGGGATGGCAGCTCCTGCTAGGGCTGTGGATAGCCATGCCCACCTGGGCTGGGGACAAGCTGCTCAATGTCTGCATGAACGCCAGGCACCACAAGAGAGAACCTGGCCCAGAAGATAAGCTCTTTGTGCAGGTACAGAAGCTAGACTTGGCCCAGGGGCTAGTGTGGGGCTTTTTTTTTTTCCCCCTGGCAAATCAGGGAAGCAACACAAATGCCAAAGTGGTCTCTGGACCACTGATCATTTGGTGCCTTGGGTGAGAAGTATCCCAAATTCTCACCAATGAGCTGCTCTAGCCATTTGAGAGGCCAGATGGCAGTTCCAAAGACCCACTGTCAGATTAACACAGAGCTGGAGAAATCCCCTATGGATAGGCCTGGGAAACAGAATGACTTCCACCAAACTCCCAAAGGCAATCAACAGGAATGTGGGAGGAGGAGCTCACATTTTGCCTATCAGTCCTTCCAAAACAATGCAATCCTAGATTCCCCATGTCTCACAGGGGCGCTTCTATACTTTCTTTCCCCACAAAGACCTCTGTGGCCTCTTATGACTGAGACCCCAAAAGCTGTGTTCATAGAGGACAGCAGCAGTCTGTGGCAGAAAAGTCAGTGTGCAGGTGCCTCTTGCCCTATGGGTGAACACTGATAGATCACCATGATTCCTCCTCCACAGGAGGGTGCTTACCCCAGTGTGGTCAGGCTTCCTCCTAAGGGACGTGTTCACTCTGCCACCCTCCTGCCCTAGACACTCATTAAGCCTGCCTCTTACTCTTCAAGCCTATTGCTTTTTCCCTCCACCTTCAGTGTATCCCTTGGAAGGACAATGCTTGCTGCACAGCCACCACAAGTTGGCAAGCCCACCTCACAGAGTCACAGCTCCACAACTTCAGCTTGATTCACTGTGGATTGCTGACCCCAAGCTGTCAGAATCACTTCATCCAGGCCACCTGCTTCTACGAGTGTTCCCCTAACCTGGGACCTTGGATCCAGCCGGTAAGAAGGCAGGAGGCTGATCCATGCACTATTTTGTTACTTAGAGTGAGGGGCTTCAACTTAATCACATGCTGGTGTTTCCAGGAGGGACTGGAGGTGCTGCTCTATATTGACAAGAGCAGAACCAGAGGCCTCTCTTGGAGAAAAGGATGGAGGGGAAGCATCATCTGGCCTGGGAGCATGGCACGGAGGGGACTGGTCAGATGAGAACAATAGGATGAGGGATTACTGCCACAGGAGGCTTGGTGGAATTAGACAGACCTGAGCTTGAATTTCATCTTCTCTTCCCAGCTGTGCAGCCTGAGACAAACTATTTTGCCACTTGATCTCATTGTTCTTGTCTGTAAATTAATGATAGATAGAGATTTTATAAGGGATGAGGTACACATGGTACCTGGCACAAGTATCATTGTAGCTATTAGCAGTCTTCAAATTGCCTTGTCGCTAATGTCCTTGTCTCTTACTATGTCTGCACTCAGGTGGGCTCCAAGGGTCGAGAGGAACGAGTTTTGGGTGTGCCACTCTGCCGGGAGGACTGTGAGCAGTGGTGGGCTGACTGCAGCAGTTCTTACACTTGCAAATCCAACTGGCACGGAGGCTGGGACTGGAGTCAAGGTAAGTGGCACAACAAGGCCCGGGAGGAAGGAGGGGGCATTGGAGTCCCCAGCCTGGGTGCAGATGCAACCCTCTCTCTGCTGTCCCTAGGTAAATGATAGGTACATGGGTGAGGGCCACTGAGGAGTGAAGCTCTAGCTGCACTGTTAACCCCCACAGGGAAAAGCCGCTGCCCAGCAGGGGCCCTTTGCCATCCTTTCCCAGCTTACTTCCCCACCCCGGCCGACCTATGTGAGAAGATCTGGAGCAACTCCTTCAAGGCAAGCCCTGAGCACAGGAATAGTGGGCGTTGTCTCCAGAAGTGGTTTGAGCCTGACCAGGGCAACCCCAATGTAGCTGTGGCCCGCCGTTTTGCCAGCCCTGCCCCAGCCTGGGCGTGCTCCTATACCCTCATGACCTTCTGTCTGTTCCTGTGGTTCTTCTCCTGATGGCCCCTTCTTCTCCCACTTGCCTATCTTGCTCCTGCCAGCTATGGGCCAGGCCATGACCACCACCTTGCTAGTAGCAGGGAGGATTGAGGCCATACTGGTTAGTGCCTGCAGCCCCCACCTCTCCCTGGGAAGGAGCTGGGGACCAGAACTACAGTGACCCCACTCCTTGCCTTTAGCAATGGGGTCCATGGTGGGACTCCAAGAGTCCTACCTTCTTGTCCTGTCCACACCACCCCTTCCATGGGAAAGCAGATGGTGGCAGCCTGGTCTTCCATCTTAGCATTTTGCTTCCAATAAAATGACGGTGGACCTGTCCTCTCTGTGTGTCACTCTGCCCCAGCCTCATGGACACAAAAAGGGAGCCAGCCTTCCTGCTGCACTGAAGTCTCAGAGTTAGGATGTTCCTTAAGAATTATTAATTTCTTAACATCCACCACCTATCCTCATAACACCTCTGATGGGATTACTTTCATACTCCCCTCTCCATAAGTGAGTCACCATAACAAAGACGGAGGCTGAGGGATGGGGTCACCCAGACCATTGACTCAATTTTGGATATCAAAATTGAGGCAGCTACCTCGAATGTTTTCAGTGTTCCCCTTCTTCCTTTTATCCCCTTTTTTTCACTCTCAGAATCACAACATATTGGTCTAGAATTCTAATCCAGCATTTCCACTTTTTATGTAACTACTGGCAACTCCACTGACCTTTAGATAAGGCTGTTGATTTTTCTCTCAGCTGAGAGGAATGAGGTTGTTGAATCAGATCATCAAAGTTATAGAAAAGAAAAAGGAAAAAGCTAGAGCCCTTGTTTGCTACCATACAGTATGTGCTTCTGAGGCAATGCCATATCCCCCAGAAGGAAGCAGAAACATCCAACTGAACTGGAAAGGGGTATGAGTTCAAGCCTCTTCTGTGAATGGCCTGGCAGCTGGCCCACCCACTAGGAACTTGATGGATCCTGGAGCTCGGCCCCTCCCTGCAATAGACATTGCTTTCCTTATGATATTGTCTGTGAAGAAGGTTCTAGTACCTAAATTGGCTGGCTTTTCAAACAAGTGCTCATTCTTGTCAGACATTAGCAAACTGCTCATCAAATGAACTCAGCCTCCACTCTTTCTGAGCTTATCTTGAACTTGCTCATTCACAGAGCTAGCCTTGTCACAGATTTGTCACACTACAATCACAGAGCTATGTATGGTGCTCAAGACACAGAGAAGGAGAAAAGAGGGCAGTGATGTGGGGACAAATCTCTTCTCAGGAAGTCTGCAAGAAATTTCAACATTGCCAGGGTTGGGGTCCTGAGAGGAACTCACTAAAGGCTTGAGCCCAGTGTAGGAGGGCATTCACGGAGAGTAGGGAGGGGATGATGATCAAACCCCAAGTGAGCCTTGAGGTGCCAACCATAAGCAGCAGGACCTTCAAATTTAATCTCAGCTACTCAGGTGGCTGAGGCAGGAGGACCACAAGTTCAAGGACAGCCGGGACAACTTTGGAGACCACACCTCAAAGAAAAAAAAACAAAAAAACAAAGCAAAACAAAAAAACAAAAACAAAAGAAAAGAAAAAAGAAACAATAGTGGCTTGAAAAATATGGGTAAAGAAGGTCTCTTCGGAAACAAGGACTAAATGAAGTATTTATCTAGTTTAATAAAGTTGAGAGTTTAATGACTTTTTAAAAAGCATTTTGGAACATAAATATTAAAAAGTAGCCAAAATAAATTAAAAATTGGGGTAAACAAAGCAAGTTCTGGGAGCGCTAATAGTTTTTGATATTTATTGATCATTTGCCACACACCCAAGGCCTGCCTCTAAGTGCGTACGTAACATGTGTTAGGTAATTCTTTGATTGTCATAAAAGTCTTGGCAGGTACTCTTATTATCCCTGTTTTTTCAAATTAGAACATAAATATAAGTAGGTTTGAACCTAGAAAACTCTGATCCCACAGCTCCAGCTCATAGGGTTGCATTGAAGAACCTGGTAGGTAGTTACATGGGACTGAGGCAGTTACGGGCGTGTAGGGTAGGAGGGAGGACTGGCTCCTCCCAGAACAGATCATAAGCAGGAGGGAGATGGAGCTGTACTCCTTCATGTTGTTGGCAGGGGTGGAGTAAACCATCAGAATTGCTTTCAGTCAAAACAATTTATGCACATGGCTAAAAGTCCGAGGATCCTAAGCCCAAGCCTAACAGTAAGCCAACCCCTCCAACTCCAAGGTCCTCACCCAGATGCACACACCTCCAGCCATTTCTGCACTTAGCTAGAAACAAGTACAAAGAATGGCTTATCTTTTTTGCTGCACAGACTATTTTTTTGCTCTCTGTTCTGTCAAGAGTTTCTCTTCTTAATCTTCCAATCTTTTTAATTTTGGCAATCTACTTTTAATTTCCAGGAGGCTCTTTTTATTCCCTTGTTTTTCACAGCCCACTGTTTTTGGTTTTATGGGAGTAATATCTTCTCACATCTCACCAAAGATCTAATTAGAATTATTTTTCAAAAGCTGTTTCTAGTCTCTGAATGATGTTTCCTCCAAGGTCACTCTGTTCTGTTCTGACTGTCTCCCGTGTGCTGCTGGGTTTTGCTAGTCTGGTGACTTTGGCTGTCTGTCCATATTTAATAGTGAGGGGCTGGTTTGACATTTCTAGCTGCCTTTTCCTTCCATGTTTGCCTACGGAGTATTCCTCTCCCTCAGTATAAAGCTGCTGGTGTTGGAGAGTTTCTGGGCATGAGGAGGGCTTGCTAACTAAATTCTACTTCAAAGGATGGAAATGAAGAAGACTCCCAAACAAGAGAACACAAAGGCTGTTTATTCCGAGCGTGCTGTAATAACAGAGTCAGCCACTGTGCCTTGCATTTTGGCAGAGACTCAAAGATAGGCAGAACAGTGGAAAAGCTTTGGAGAGGGAGAGAGGGAAGTCCTTGGGTCTTCCCTAGATAGGGCTGATGGCAGGGAAAACAGCAGGTGGGTGAAAGCAATGCATCTGAGATGACTAGCCAGGGGACCATTTGGCTTTCTCCAGTTTGTCCTAAATTGAACCAGCATAAAAAACTAGGAAAGCTGGAAGTTATTAATCAAGTCCATGTTGTTTGGGACTGATTGTTACAGGGGTTACTGGATGGTTTCCTGGGCTACTTGATAGAGATGGTGGCCTAGACATTCTATAAGTCTAGCTATAGATAGTGTGGGTGGCTTCTAGGCTGGTTACTATAGTTGGATATCTGGTTTTATATTTGGCCTGACCATTGTCCATTTGTATACTTGGCTTCTCAAGACTGAGTTGACAAGAATATCTTGGGTGTGAGGGGCTTTCTTCTCATCTGCCAGAATAAAGTATGATTCTGTTTGTAATCCTGACACTCATGTGAAACTCTGGCACTATTCAGAATTTGATTCAATTTTTTAAAGAAGGCTTCATCCAACTTCCATGGATAAATAATGGAGGATTACCTGAGCTCTGATTTGAGCGAAGAACATGGTGAGATGAGTGCATACGTTTCCTCCCTGTTTCCCAGGCCTGCCAAATCTGTACCCAGAGCATCTCAGAGGTTGTGCCTGACAGAGCAGTTCCATCTTCCACCTCAGCTGCCTCCTACACTTCCTCTAGCCTCCCCTGCCCTCTTTGATTGCTTTCCAATGCTATTTTCTAAATATTTGTTTAAACCTTTGTATCTGGCGATTTTGTTCATATGCTCTTGGTAGAGGATTAGTTGGAAATAAACAATCATTTTAGTGGAATTCCAGGCATTCATTCTGCCCTCTGTAACCAGCAGCTGCAGATTTTTTAAAGATCCAATTGTATAAAGAATAAATTTAAAGAGGGACAAATCAAAGACAAGGTGACCAAGGGCAATGTGTAGAGTGAATTTTCAGGAGAGAAGTAAAATATGAAGGCAAGTGTCAACTTAATTTTAAGTAACTTTCTAGGAATCATAAGGTCTGGTTATAGTAGAGGCAGTGGCCCAGAAAAGGGCAGACTCAGGAACTATTAAGAAGGCAGAATTTGTAAAAATTTGGACCATAATTTTACATGCAACGCCACAAAAATAGGTATTCAATGAAATGTGTGGAAGACAAAACTATTACCAAAACTTTAACTGCTTTGGATGACGTCATGATGCCTCTTCTAGTTCCAAGAGGTCCTGTCGCTAGCCTGGACTGTCCTAGGTCTTGAGGGGAAGAGGAGAAGCTGGAGGCTGCTCCTTCTACTGGATACAACCTAGTCACTTTTCCATGTTGGGAGCATCCAAACTCACTCAGGCTCTTCTCAGAGAATACTGGGAAGTCCTACATGGCAGATGAAAAATGAAAACAAAAGTTGCTCTCTTTTATATGCTGCCTTTAATTTAAGGTACCTTTTTGAGGAATGTTCCTCAGCAAACCCCTCCCTGAGCGCAGAAGTGGCTATAGCCTGGCATTCACGCACAGCATCCTTGCTCCCAGACCGCTCTGGCTGCCTCCAAAATGAGTACTGAGCCCCGTTACCTTCCCCCACTAATGCTCCCACAGAAGTGACTGGTTCCTTAGGGGCTTCCTAATGTTTTTGCTATTGAAGAGCACAGATATGGAGATTATTCTGGGGACCCAGGATGGCATCTTATACATCAGATCATTTTCCCAGCCCCAGACCTTGAGATGGCTTGAATGTTCAGGGCCCCTTTCACCCTAAAGGGGCCCTCTCCCTGCCAACACTAGCAGTTGTTTCCATTGTATCTCCTTCCCTCTGTTCTGCTCACATCTATCCTCAGATCTATTTTCCTATAGGATCAGCAATTACCTTTGGTAGTGCTTTGCCACAAATGAATAGAGTAGAAAAATCTGCAGAAGGAGGAGGGTTTCCCAGGGAGGAGGGACGGATGAGGAGCTGTGAGGTGCTGGTGGGATATCATTATGGAGATGTCGATCTGATGATCTGACAGTTCACCTGTAGTACAGGAGAAAGGTCTAGGCCAGAGATAAGAACTGTAGACCCCCTTTTCCTATAAGTGTTGTTTGGTGCTGTGGAACTTAGTAGTTCTCTAAGAAAAATGTGGAAAGAAAAATGAGAAGATTGTAGAAAATCTCTCCTCCTTACTTGTAGCTAGTAGAGACAGGGAAAGAGAAACCAAGTGTAAAGAGGAAGGCAGAAAGCTGTATTTCAGAAGCACGAGA